TGATGATTAATAGAACACTTAGTTTATATATATTTGAGTACTGACATAATGAACTCCCCTCCCCCCTGCGGCCGTTCTAGAGCCTACATAGATTCTACGATTTCGTATATGTATCTATTAATGTAAGCCCAACAACATTTGTAACTAATGGTAAGAAAATCAAATGAACACTTAGTTTATATATATTGATTAATTGAACACTTAGTTTATATATATTGATTAATTGAACACTTAGTTTATATATATTGATTAATTGAACACTTAGTTTATATATATTGATTAATTGAACACTTAGTTTATATATATTGATTAATAGAACACTTAGTTTATATATATTTGAGTACTGACATAATGAACTCCCCCCGCCCCTGCGGCCGTTCTAGAGCCTACATAGATTCTAGGATTTCGTATATGTATCTATTAATGTAAGCCCAACAACATTTGTAACTAATGGTAAGAAAATCAAATGAACACTTAGTTTATATATATTGATTAATTGAACACTTATTTTATATATATTGATTAGTAGAACACTTAGTTTATATATATTGATTAATAGAAGAAAACTTAATTAACTCAATGCAAAAGTCAATAAAGATTAAGGAGAAAACTTCACAAAATAAAGATACATCCCAAATAAGTTGGCACAGACTGTAAATCAATCCTGAGCAAACACCTTAACCAAACAATCCACTTATATATATATATATATTTAACATTAATCTTTGATCTAATCGATTCCTGATAATCTCACAAAGTATTTATGGAATCAATTAGGCTTAACTAACTTTGACCAATATAATTGACTTGCTAGAAAAAGTGGAAAAAGGAGATAAAGGAAAAGAAAAGGTTAGAATGAAGTACCAATTACTGGTAATCAATTCACAGATTTCTCCTTTGCCCCTCCATTCTATTTCTTCAGAGATAAGCCACAGCCACTAAACAATTCAACAAAATAAAAAATCATCAATATCAAATTAAACCAGGCTGAGATATTATAGATGCAATACATAATGATGATGAAAAAAAGTTCCATCCATTGCTTTGATCAGAACACCCCGATGCCGGTCCCCCCCCCCCAAAAAAAGTTGAATCCATCAGGTTATCATATCTAAGTTTTATAAGATATGACATCTGATACTAATTCTCACTTTTTTTGTTTATTTCACTGTTGATGATGTGATTAGTAACCCGACATCGGATAGCACCCAAGTATGGTCACCCTAGCTAACATCACTCCAAACTAATATAGTATAAATATTGTTATACAAGTAAATCACAAATGAGAATGAGCTGTGATATAGAGCTCTAGGTGTAGAGTTCTAAATGGAGCTCTACATATCTGGCAGGGGTAAAGACCAAAAAAAATAATAATAATAAAAAGAAAAATCATAATGGGAAAAAAGACAAATCGGAAAGAGCTCTTATTTTAGAGGTCCAAAACATTTTTGTATGAGAATTTTGGGGGTGTGTGTGTATGAGGGAGAACGAGAGAGAACTTGAGTTTGCAGAAAGTAAGTAATCCGATTGTAAGACCTTTCAAAACGAGAAGTCCATTTTCATGAAGATAGCCAACGATTTTTGCATAGTTCACCACTTGGAACTCCAGTAAAGAAACCCTAGTGTAAGTACCATCCATGAAAACCATTAAGAAGCTTGGATTCTCAGGATTTGTGTCCTTGCAGCATAAAGTCATGATCTTCACTTTCTTGGTTTCACCTGATTTGATTCTAATGATTTCTTGATACCGGTTAGGTCGGGCCGGGGGAACAAAAACTCTGATTTCCATCTCCACTGTAGACCTATTCTCAAAAGCAGTTAGCCTAGCTCCCATTGTAGATTTTGGTGCACTGTGTGCTTGTGTGTGGAATCCTATGAAAGAACTTGTACATTTTGGTGCACTGTGTGCTTGTGTGTGGAATCCTATGAAAGAACTAGTACATGAACCTCATATTTATAATACGGTCTCATTTGGCAACTTAGGTTTTTTCTCTATTTTAAACTATACATAAACAAAGAAGGGTAGAAGTTAAAAAACAAAAAAATACATGTACATATATATTGATGCCTCGTATATTTCTATGCCCTAAATTTATATTCATATACATAAACAATAAAAATATTTAAAAAATTTGCCCACTATGTAGGCATCCTAATTTTTTTCAAAATCATTATGTCCTATGTCCACTGTCGTCTCTACTTCGTTGTAGAAGATACTGATCCTATATCATCTCTTCACTCATAAAACTAGTTTATATTACCAAGAACAACGCTGTCCATGAAAATGAAAGATTTAGAAGAGATTTCATGGAAGTTTTGGTGTGAACACTATGGAGCAAGCTTCCAAGTTAATGGAGACAACTTTATTTGTTTTTTTGATTCATAGCAATAGTGGTAGTGACAACACATACTCATCACTTCTGCTACTATGTCCTACATACTAAAAATTTCTTCAAATGTCACTGTTTTCATGATATATTATAATACTAGTGAAAGCAACTATCTTTAAATACTTTGGTAAAGATCCAATGAAGGTACCTGTATAGGATAGTGAGGGGTGGTAGGCTGGCTTCTTTGTCAATTGGCATGAGTGCATTCAATATAAGAATTGTATGTTGCAATCCGAAGCACTAAAATAGACATTAGGTTAACAAATGTGTTACATGAACTCTTTTACTTCTTTCCATTTATACTTGTGTTCACTAGATATGACAAGATTAAGGGTGCAAAAACTCAATTAAATTCTCTAATTTTATATAATATTTGAAGAAGAAGACAATTACATTAGCAAGTAAACATTTCTTCTCAAACGAATAGAGATATAAATTGAAGTATATTCCTAAATAATTGACAATATTTTATCAAAAAATATTATGCAATATGCAATATATATGGGTGTTTAAGAGGTGTCCCACACTCTTATTGAACTTTTGAATCTAAAATCTAGATTTAGGAATATGTGGTTACCGAGTTATCAAAAAAATAATCCAATAGTCCATCCAATCAAATAATTTTTTTTTCTTTCTAGATCTTTTATTTTTTATCTTTTAAGTGGTTAATTGGTTGGTGTTGGTACATTTGTTTAACTGTTTATGTAATGGCTATTGATTCTTTGAACAAAGGTAGTACAATTTCATCTCTACTATTGGTTATGCAGTTTGTTAATGTGAAAAGATGTGCAAAATAATATTTTTCATACATAGATCCTTCATTTTCGCCCCATAATCATAAATCTCCTTAAGTGTTGTCTTCTTTACTAACTCTATTTTGATGTTCTGTTGTTGTTTGTCACAGGTCCTCAATTTCTACATCTTAACGTAGAAGTGAAGCTATACCTCCCCCCTCCCTTCCTCCCTAGCAGTTGCATTGGCAGGTGTGCTTTTTAATTTATTTACTTTTAATTAATAGCAAGGCACTGCCAGGTGTGCTTTTTATTTATTTGTTTATTTTAATTGATAATAGGATACTTGCAAGTGTGCTTTATTTATTTATTTTCTTTCAATAAATAGCAGGGCACTGACGGGTGTGCTTATTCACTCATTTAATTTTGATAATTAATATTTGATAGCAGGGCACTGGCGGGTGTGCTTATGTATTTGTTTGATATTAATTTAAAGCAGTGCACTGGCATGTGTGCTTTTTTGTTAATTTGTTTTATTTTAATTGATAGTAGAGTACTTGCACGTGTTTTTTTTATTATTTCCGTTCAATTGATAGCAAAGCACTGGTGAGTGTGCTTATTTGTTCATTTTCTTTTAAGAATTGATAATTTATAGCAGAGCACTGGCGGGTGTACTTTTTTCTATTTTCTTTTAACAATTGACAATTGAAAGCAGAGCACTGGCAGGTGTGCTTTTTCTATTTTCTTTTAACAACTGATAATTGAAAGCAGAGCACTGGCGGGTGTGCTTTTTTATATTTTAATTTATAGTAGGGTACTTACTGGTGTATTTTTGAATTTATTTGCTTTGAATTGATAGCAGGGCACTGGCAGGTGTGCTTATTTATTTGTTTGATTTTAATTTATAGGAGGGCACTGACGAGTGTGTTTTTTTGTTGATTTGTTTGATTTTAATTTATATAATGGCATTTACGAGTGTACTTTTTTATTATTTGCATTTAACTGATGCCAAATTTGCACATCTGTTGTCTACGTGCACATCTGTTGTCTATGCGATTTGTTATGTAGATATGATGGATGAACCTGAAAGTAGTAGGCAGAAAGAGGTCAACAGTAAAATTGACAATCAAGTTGCTCCGGATGGCAAGGATGATGTTGTCGATGGGAAAGAAGAAGGGTTAGCTTCCCAAACCTATGATAGTTTACGAATGCTTACTAAGGTTGATGTTTTGCAAATGAAATTCAATTCAGAGGAGGATGCTTATTCTTTCTACAATGCATACGCTAAGGTCATCGGTTTTAGCATACGAAGAAGTAGGAAACAAATTAGTGGATACAACAAATTTGTAGAGAGTAGAAAATGGGTTTGTTCAAGGGAAGGTGTAAGAGAGAAGAAATACTTACAACGTGTGGAACGGTTGAGAATTCCCAGGGCAGAAACTAGACTTTTTTGTAGTGCCACATTTCGTGTGTGTTATGACAAGACAATTAAAAAATATGTTGTGACCCACTTTGTAGGGGAGCATAACCATCCCTTGGCAGCACCACACTGCGTCCCTTTTTTGTGGTCACATAGGTTTGTAACAAGTGCAGACAAAGCTCAAGCAAATGCCATGCGCAATGTGGGTATGACAACGAGTCAAATCATGGATTTTATGGTCCATCAATCAGGGGGTTATGAGAAGGTGGGCTTCATTCACAGAGATTTGCACAACCAGTTCCAAGCTGAGCGCAAAGTATAACTCGCAGAAAGGGATGCAGAGGGTGCCTTAGGATACTTATCAGCTAAACTAGATGCAGATCCATTATTTTTTTTCAAGTACAACGTCGATAAGGATAACTGGTTGGACAAGATTTTCTGGGAGATGGTAGGTCTCGGATGGACTATGCTGCATTTGGTGATGTATTGGTATTTGATACAACTTATCGTACAAATCAATATAAGAAGCCATTTGTGATTCTAGCTGGCGTGAGTAACCATTTTATGATAATCATATTTGGATGTGCTTTGTTGCTTGATGAGACAATGAAGACATACACGTGGGTGTTGGAAACGTTAATAGAGGCCGTGGATGGACAAAGACCCATTTCTGTTGTAACAAATGGTGATAGGGCAATGCGTCAGGCAATCGAAAGAGTTATTCCAAATTGCAGACATCATTTATGTTCTTGGCATCTAGAGAAAAATGCCTCAACAAATGTCCACATACCTTTACTAATGATTTCACACAGTTGATGTTAAAGAAATGTAAAATTGTTGAGTTTGATAATGCGTGGGCTCGTATGGTGAAACAATACAAGTTGGAGAACAATAACTGGGTGTTGGAGATTCACCGCAAGCGTGATAAGTGGGCTGAGGCGTATCTTCGTGGGCACATGTTTGCTGGGATGAGGAGCACTCAACGTATCGAGGGTATGAATGCATATTTCAATATGTTCCTAGAACAAAAGGTAAGGTTGTACGAATTTGTAGCACAATATGATAGGGCTCTTGCTAGGATGCGTGTTAATGAGCCAGAAACAGAATCTAAAACAGAGAATAGTTTCCCGGTTTTGACTACGCCATTAAGAAGTTTGGAAAAACATGCAGCTGAGCTCTTTACTAGGAAGATTTTTTCATTGTTTCGACGTGAAATCAACAAAGAGGGTAAATTGTTCGTAATGGAAAGAGTTGAGTTGGAGGATCGTGGCACTTATCGTTTTGGTGAGTACAAGGCACCAACAAGCACATGGACGGTTGAGTATTTTCGAGCAGATATCACAATAAAATGTTGTTACTTGAAGTTTGAATCGTTTGGCATCCCTTGTTGCCACATGGTTACTGTCATGAAATCTGAACAATTAATGTGTATTCCACCGAGTTGTGTCTTGAAGAGATGGACAAGACGTGCTAGGTCAGGATATGAACAACCAAGTCTTACCCAAATTTCTGGCACCCTAACACAGACAGCCCGGTTCGGCATACTAAGCTCATGTTTTAGTGAAATGTCATATTATGCCTCACACGCAGACAACGATTTTGAAGAGGCAAGGGAAATGGCTTTCCAGATGACATTGAAGATGAAAAAGCGCTGGGCAATGCGAACAGAATATAATATCGCGGTTGGGGACAAAAATATTGCACCCAAACTATGTGGCGTTGGTGATCCTAATGTAGTGAAGACCAAAGGGAACCCCAGAGGGACATCTTCTATGGGTAAACCTCCAAAACCAAGGCGGTGTGGGTATTGTAGGTATGGTACTTTAATTGCATGTCCTTTTTCCATCATGTTGCATGTACATGATTATTAAAATTGTTTATGCATTATTTGCTATTGTAGGAGCATCGAACACACGAAACGAAGGTGTAAAAAATTGGCTTCAACTAGCCGGAGAGAGGGTAGCGACTCAGACATTGAAACATTCATGAACACAGAGTTGGAGCCCCACATGGAAGATATTGATGAACCGACAAATTCTCAAGTGTAGTTTAGTTTTATGATGAGCCTTATAGTGATTGATACGTTGTTTTTGCAAGGAGACATTAGTGCATATTAGTTACGTTTTGTTGATGTCTTAGGTGTTTTTATCTTTCACAATATCCATAAATTCTTAGTTTGGAGAATCATTTAAAAAATAAAGGTGAATAACTCCCAAATATGTTTGCTCGAATATTGTCCTTAAGTTGGATGAGCTGTCCTTACGTTGGATGAGTTTACAATCACTACTAATATTGCAATGTGTCTCTCTCTCTCTTTTTCAGCTCTATTATTTGTTTTTCTTTTTAATGAATAACAAAGAATGCAAAAATATGGCTATGCCACCCCAAACGTGTGGGGCTCCCTTCATATTTCAGTTTTGATTTTTTGAAATTGCCTCATTTTCTTATCAAAATTGACATATGTCTACCTTGTTTTACATGTAAATTTCTTAGTTTGGGGATTCATTTAAAAAATAAAGGTGAATAAATCCCAAATCATTTTGTTGAAATAACTGACCGATATTTCGGAAGTGTGAGCCTGCTAGACCTTGGAAAATTATAAATAATACTAATTAGGTTTGTGCACTATCTTTAATTGATTTTCATGGCACTTTGACTCTGCTTCATCAGGTCTGCGAGCTGGACTTGATCTTCAATTTCCATAAGGTATTTTCTGTTTTACCTGCTTCATGTTTAAATTCTTGATCTCTTTGCTTTGTTGGGGAATACCATCGTATAGTGAAGAAATTTACCATTTTTTTTTTGGGTTGCTTAGAGCTCCAAATTGAATCAATTACAATAGGTGGAACTGAATAGTGGAGAAGGATGGATTCATTTAGTTGGTCCCAATAAGTTAGGGTTTTCTTTGCTTCTATTTGCGTGTGTTGGATTTGATATTGGACACAAAAATTGTGTATTGGTTAAGGCAGGCAATCCATTAGGGTCTCTGTAGTTTGAGAAGTCAAGCAATTGATTAAGACAATTTAATTTTTTGGATCTCTCTCTCTCTCTCTCTCTGTGTGATCAGCTACAGAAAGAGATTTCATTAATTAGAAAAAGGGAAACAAAAAGAGGACAAGAAGTCCTCTACAATGCAAAAATGAAATGAACAAAAAAACATCTAAAATGAGACTTCTTCAGCACTTTGTTAGTGAACCTTCTTCAGCAATGAAATGAGCCTTTTTCTACAAGCCAATTTACAAGTCTTTGCCTGAATCAGAAAGAAAAAGAGTACCCCCCTTTTTTTTTTTTTTTGGTAAACCAATTATAGTAGCTTTTCTCATTTTGTTCTCAATGGTTTTTGTAAGACTTTTTATTCAACCTCGGCCTTTGTTGGAAAATCAGATGAAATAGTTTAAAGCAAAATAATCCTTTGAAGGTGAATTGTCATTTGTAGTCTACATGTCAACTTTGGGTAGTGTAGAGTTACCATTTGTGGTTTGTGATTATACTTGATTGCTTTATAGTTGTTGAAAAGTTGCTGATAGAAAAAAGTTGGCAGGCTTATTATATATTGGATGAGCTTTTAATTGCTGGTGAACTTCAGGAGACTAGCAAGAAAACAGTAGCACGTCTGATTGCTGCACATGTATTTGATTTTGAGATTATCTGGCCTTAATGTTTCTTTATATTTTTGAATTGTGGTGTGCTTAGCCTCACATGATTTTGCGATTATCTTGGTTTATGCTTGGTTTGTAGGATTCTTTAATGGAGGCTGCTAAAGAGCAGGCTAGTTCAATTAGCAATATGATCGCACAAGCAACCAAATGAGAGAGTACAGTAACAGTTGTGCTTATGTTTTGCATGGATTTGCAGTCCATAGTCGTCGTCGTTGTCTAGTTGTGCTCAATGTTTGTCATGGATGATTTTTAATTTTTTCCATTGGTGGTTTCGTGTATTCAGGATATTTTCTATTTTTGTGATCCTATGGGGCTCTGCAAAACTGCATATTATAGTAGCACTAGTTTGTGTCCACTCTTGATATATGTTGTTTTGACATCCTATAACTTCTCTTGATATTTTGCTGTGAATCTATGGCTTTTTCATTTGTAGTCAAAAGATCCATCATTGATTCATAGTTACAAGGGTAAATTACACTAACACCTCCTGAGATTTCATCCAATTACATCTTATTCTCTTACGTTCTGAAAATTATATTCTCATCCTTGTGGTTAATAGTCTCATTTTATAAATCTCTCTGCTTATATAAAAGGTAGCAACTCCTAAAAGAAAAGAAAAATAGAAGAAATTACGTTAAAAAAAAAGTACAGCAAAAGAAAGAGGAAAAAAAAATAAAAGTAAGAGTGTATGAGTTCAATATCTTCATTCCGTCTAAATAATTATAATGATAGGGGGTTAGTGTAAATTCTTAGACATTAAGGGTGATATGTATTAAATTCAAATCTAAAGGGTTTGAGATGATTTAAATAAGTGTACTTTTTGATTTTTTACAAAACGATTGTTTGCTTGACCGTTGTCCTTAAGTTGGATGAGTTGTTCTTATGTTGGATGAGTTTACAATCACTACTAATATTGCAACGTGTCTCTCTTTTTTTCAGCCCTACTACTTTTTTTTTTTTTAATGAATAACAAAGAATGCATAAATATGGCTATGCCACCCCAAACGTGTGGGGCCCCTTTCATATTTCAGTTTTGATTTTTTGAATTGTCTTGTTTTCTTATCAAAATTTACATCTGTCCACCTTGTTTTAGATGTTAACATATGTTTCGAATGTTACGTAGGTAATTGAACTTGGCGTGGATAAAAAACAACAATATTGGGTAAAGGAAAAGTGGTAGCTCCTCCCAATGACCTTGGTATTTTTCCTAAACGGGTTGTTACTGTAGAGTGCAGTGAAGGAGTTAATTAATTCTGAAATTTCGGCAATTGTGGGCCACCTACATATCCAAAACCTAATCGAACGGGTAGGGAAGGCTTATGTCAACTTCGTACGAGAATTCTTTGGTAGCATACCAAAGAATCCACATGCAACATAGTTCGTGGAACGTATGGCAAAACATAAGAGCAAAGTCAAAAGCAGCATAAAAGACAAGATCCAACCATGCAGAAACTATTTTGTGTTGAAGCTTCATAAAATTCGACTAGTGAAGAGGAATCTGATGGGTCCAACTATGATGAAAGCTAACAAATGGACACAACCATGGATGCATGACCAAACTTCTTGTCAACCGTGTTCTTTTATGAACAGTGTGTAATTTTTTTTTCCTTCTTCACTTGTAAAGCAAATTGTAAACAATCAAAGCCTTCCTATGAATTTTTTGAGTGATTGTAATTGTAACAACTAAGAGTACTGCTTCACAATTACATATTAGATGTAGTTTCGTCACACCAATCTTTAGCACTAGCAGATATTCCATAGAAATTGGTAAAAAAAATCCAAAACAAATATACTTATTCAAGCATCCACAAAAAATTGCCAAACCAAGTTAGTTACATTCGTCCAAGCTTCTTCAACCATTAAATGCGCTCATAATTGTAAAAAAAACTTAGTGGCAAAAACGATGTTTGTTATCAATCTTTCTTTTTTCCTTTTGGCCTTCCGGAGCCTAACATACCTATTCAAAAGGAAATTACATAAGTAATGAGCTGAGCTTATGAAGGGCATAAGTTGTTCATGGTTTGGGGATGTACCTCTCTTTGTATGCGTCAAACCGATCCATAACATCAATATACTTACTGTTCGACAAATCTTTCACTAGGTCGACTAGCAGCCTAAACCTTTCCACCTTATCAAATTGAGGAAATAGAACAGACAATATACCATCAACAATACCATCATATGACAATATAATTGTAGTAGTGTAATTATGTGGTTGAACATGAAATAGTCACCTTCGGTACGCCGGTCGGCATGACAACACCTTGCATATACTTTATGACGAACATACCACAGTCATAACTTCATGAAAAGATGCATGTGAAGGTCAACCTTGTGTGTAATATTAAAAGAAGAGCCAAAATTGGAGAGTGAAGGAATAATTTGTTTAGTATACCTATCAGTCTTATGTTGGAGACAATGGTCTTTCAATCTCTCTAATTCAAATTCCTTGACATTTGCAACATACTGGTCTCCAAAATAATGTTGCAATAACAAATGCATTGTTTGAACCTATGCATGAGCGTAGTAAGATAGATTATGATGTTTATCATATCAAAGAAAAAAAAAAGAAATTTAAATGGCCTACCAGTTTCGTTGCCATTAATTCTCGACTTTCATCATTTGTGCGACTAGGACGCGAGTCAAATAGATAGGCCATGCGATGTGCCATATCTATCTTGACACAAAACCAATGTTCTCCATTGTCATTCACTGGAATATATATCTAAGCAACAATAATAACAAAACTTAGTGCAATGTTGCCCAACCAATTTAGAAAATAAAAATTTAATAAATAATAATAATACCATAAAACACATATTAAAAAATAGCAGTACAATGGAGAGGATATTTAGAATAGTCGTGCAAAATGTAAGAGTGCTTGACCCATTACTTCTTCACAAGCATGAAGCTTCCCAGTGTATCGAGACTCCCCAAAATATTCGTCCCATAGCTTTGCATGGTCCGTCCCATTCAAAATATGTTGCTACATTCAATAATGTACAAGTATGCTTTAGTAAGTGTACATTAACACCACAACATAAACATGACACACTATACTACTCACCGATACATATGTGGGAAAGTACCATGTACTGTGACACTTATCCGGAAAAAGCCTTCTTTGGGCATTTGTCAATTTCGCTACAACTAAATTGATAATCTACAATACATGCAACAAATAATAATTTCAGACCTATATCATTGAAAATGACATCACATAGCAATATTGACGTATGAAATGAACACTTACGGAATCACGAATCTAGGTTTTTGGTTGTAATGAGCACAAATCTAAGCGGGTGGCAAGTTCAATCGGCGTGTAAAACAGCTCCATCACCACAATATCCTCACTGAATCATGTGAAAATTGAAGGGTTAAACTTACTGTTAATTGATAGAGGAACATATAAACTCAATAAAATTACCTGTCTTCCAAATCCTTATCGAAACAATATTCCTTCAGAATTTTTTCCTCGGCAGATAAAGGACATGGCCTTACGATTCGTGCAGTGGATGACTTGTGAATATAATCCAATACATAAATAACAAATTGTCAAATTTTGTACAGTGTGTTATAGGGGATTGGAGATCAAGAACAATAATAGAATGAGTAATGACCTCAATAGCATCAAAATTGGCGCCAAGTAGTTTTCCAAGTAAGTTCAAACTCTACCACAAATTGCAACCAACAATAAAAAACCAAAAATCGTGAAATAGAGTATCACAAATGAATAACATCGTATACTACATATATAATCTACATGACTTACTTGATCAAACTTATCCTCCTTTGTATCGAGAGACGAATCTGCTGCATTTAAGTCAAGCATTGTTTGGGTTGGCTTTTTTGGAATGGCTTTTCTCTTGTTACTAGCGATGACTATAAAAGGTGACCGCACATATTGACTTTCCACCCCCTCATCTAAACGTCGAGTGCACCGACCGCCATATGGACCAGTTGATGAACTAGATTCATTAACAAGTTGGAGTTTTGGAATTTTTTTCCTTCGCTTATTCTTCAATCCCACTGTCATTTTGTTTTGCTTATTATTCCTCCCTTGTAGCTGATGTGTAATGGGAGCACCATTTGTATCAGAAGAACCATCAATGGAATCAAATAATGGTGTATTTGTTACTTGTTTTTGAACCTAGGTGGTTTGATCATGAAGATGGGAATCCAATTTGAAGATTGATAGTGCGAGCAGAATTCTATTTTCATCCGTGTTTTTTGATGCTACCATAACATCAGGTTCTGGCAGTAGCACATGGGTGACATGTTCCACTGTAGGTAGAACCATAGATTCTACCATAACATCATGTTTTGGCGGGAGCACATTGGTCACATGTTCAACTATAGGTACAACCGTAGATTCTACAACTCCATGTGCAACTATGTCAGCTAATTTATTACATTGGTTGTGATCCACTTCTCGTTGCTTTGGTATTTGTGGTGTCTCCAATTTTTCCATGACCTTGGGATGGAAGAATTAGCCATTCCACTTTTAACAATGACAACTAGTTCTTCCAAAATACTTTTAAATGTCACAAACAGTCGTCTCAATTTTTGAAATCCGACTATCATCAATATTTTTCATTCCCTCGCTTTGTACTGATGGTGGCATTTGCTCTTCAACAACAAAATTAACAGCAAGCTATTTAAGACATGTTATAGAGAATTTAGTTTTCCATTTCAACATGAATAAGAACAAACAAAACCAAACCTAACAGAATAGAAACAAAGGATGACCTTCTCATTCTAGTAACCTCCTGAATTTTTGAATAATTTTAATGTCTCTTTTATTTCTGCATCGCCCCAATCAGCCAAGTAAGGGACCGAGCAAGCACGAGCAACATGACAACCACTCGGAGCAAGACGATCAAAGTAAAACAACTGCATCACAAAAATGTATGAATTTAACACATACTATGCAATGAAATAGGCATTAAAATCAAGTATTTATAACAA